TAAGATCTTATAGATTAGGCAGTTATATCATGACAAATCTACAAATTTAGGATTAGGTCTATTATTAGAGCAGTACTACTATCATAGTAGACCATAGTTCTACATTGGTGAGCCCAACTAAAGAAACGCAACCTATTTTAATAGGATTAACAATATATTGTTAATCCTTATTTCCACTTAAACTTTCTCGATCGATTTTATATATATGTTAACCCAGTATTCTAATAGTCCTCTGATTAATGCTCACATGCATTGTCGTGATGTTATATTGATTACTTCTCATAACATACTAGGTCAATCGATAGTAAAAACTGGTCGTCTAAATTAACTAATTAGCTAAGATGGTTCGTTAACAAGCTTTAATAGCATTTACCTGCTTCAGCGACATAGACTTGTTTAAACATCAAGCTCTAGCAAATATGACCTGTAAATAGCGTAAATATACATTGACTAACAATGCAATCAAGGATTGAATAGTTATCTGGATCTAATTCTTAGTGTTCCTTCGCTTAACACCTCATCCTGTTTTAAACTATGCACTATCCTGTAATATCTTTTCTTCCGACCACTGCCTGCCTAATTTCATTTTCTCGAGTTCCATTGCCAAACAACAAGGATGACACTTCTCCAAAAACATATGGTGAGTTCCAGCTATAAGTTTCCTGCAATCATAAGGTCATTTTTAGATGGTTCGTTCAATGACAACCACACAATTATCTGGGTTCATTCGATTGTTCTGATCCGAGCGAGTGGCAAAAACCTCAACAGCATCAAGCACCCTGGAAGTAATTGCCATACTGCATGTTTTATTCTGGACGCTTTTGGATCATTACTACTCACGAATAGCGTTATATATGTCGTCCACTGAATAATCTAATTTTCAAAAATAACCCAGGTGAGTTCAACTATTTTACTTAATGATTTCTTTTACTTAACATGTATATGTTTTCTAGTTGCTTTTGCTATATATTTGTAAGTGTCCCTAGGCTAAATGCAGTAACTTCTTATGGAATGTTTATAACGCATCATATTCCTGCCTGAAGTTTCACAAGCAGTCTAAACTTTAAAATTATTTTCTGGTCATGTTCATTATTTTCAAATTATCATATACGTCAACAACCTGCATGTTAACCTGGCCCATACATACGTTACACTATATCTCCATGTCTTTTAAATTTAGAAATCATCTGGATCGCCCTTAACATTTATCAATAAACCCATCATAGTCGTTATTGCTAATCGTATTTGGGTTTATGGATTGGTTTATCATATTAGCAGCCTGAAATGCGAACATAGTTTAGTAAAATAACTAAATCCCCAGGTAGCTGTTGGCTAAACAAACGTTTAAAATCAAAACTCCGTAGCCTACTAGAACTAACACTAAACGAATCTTTCTGAATTAAAATTTATAATTAAATTAGGCGTCTCGGATTCTTTAACGTTACAAATTTCTGATAGTTTCGAAACACCTAAAGCAACAACACCTATTTTTCCACTGACTAATCCTCAATCAACACTATAACTAGTTAAACATAATAGTTTCAGGATATCGTCATAAAGCATTGCCATGACTTGACAATCACGTAATATGATTGGTAAAATTAATGAAACTGTTAACAAAATCGGTCAGCAAATTGACTTACAATTATCACTAGTGTTGTTTTTCTTTTATATTCATTCAATACAGATGCTTACAGTAGGTTTCTCTATCAGTTGCTCATTCAGTAAATATCTCAAAACCTTGTCAGTTTAATTGATAGTTTAGCGACACAATAATGCATGCAAATAATCAGTATAAGCAGTCGAGCAAATCTCCTGCAAACTGAAAACATCAATGTCGAATTTACCCCAACACTGATTAAGGTTCGAGCCATTATCATAGACATGAGTTGGGAGTGTACTCCCCTTGTTTACAACTTATGTTCTCCCTGATAATCACATGAGCATCACTTACTATTAATCATCTTGTAAAAACTTATTTAGCCAAGTCCATCTTGCAACACCACATCACTTCGTAATATGACACATAGGCTTAACTGATTTTAATAACTTATAACCACTATATCTCAATTAAATCGTATTCCGCCTAATAATAAACTGCATACTTGCAACTAACTTGTATGCCGAATCAACCGGCAAGTATAAATATAAGTAAATAGTCTGCCACAGATCAGAACATTGAGTCTAGAGCATGTCTCTTACGAATACACTCATGTTTAACGATTTTTCCTAGCTATCTGTCCAAAATCCATATAATTATCACTCATGTATTTAAATTTTGTTTTGATAACCATTCATGTGTATTAGTACTATTACTAAATTCTATCACGGTCAAGTAAAAATGAGGTTGAGAAAATCTCCCCGTAACCAAATAAACCGTATCAAACTAACTGGAACACTAGTTGGAATTCTTCTTCACGGTATACTTTTGTTCATTCAGTTAGCCTACTAATACATATGCAGTTGGAAATCAACTCATATGGACAACGTACCGGCATAATTGTAAATTGACTTCATAATTTAAACCTAAACTAATACCAATATTAATATTTCTACAACATTCATTACTTTAATACTTCTAAACACAAAATACTTACGACCTATACGTTAAGCTATTAACCAACGGCTATTAACACGCATCGTTTTATTATTATTATTATTATTATTATTATAACCCCATTTTTATAGCTCAAATAATCTTCACCCAAATTTTCATTTCAAGCATGTTAAGCATGAAGGCAGATATTTTAAAATTATTGCATATATTTCCCGACCAGATGCTGCCGCCTTCTTTTTGATTTATCTTTCAGCTTACCAATACCCGGAGGATTCTTATTATCCTTGGTAACCTCCGGCGCGCGACGATCCCATCCAATTTGGTATCGAACCAACATCACGTTGATTCTGGTGGGAGAGTAGTGTAGTGGCATTGGACAATAGCCACACAATCCACAAAGCTGTGAACGCGAGACTACTCAGGAAATAGATATTCAATATTTAACGCGGAGAAATACCTAACAATGGAGTAGGCGCGAACAATGAATTAAATGGGCCGGAGTTGATCGGATGGCATGGCTCGACCATGCAGGCGTGGTTCATCTGAATGTTACCTCATATCTTCTATTCATATTAAATATATTGTTCTTTCTCTAGCCCAACCTTGTTCTACATCATGTATTGGTAATTGATACGATACAGTGAGTTGGTGTAGTCCATGGTGTGACTTCCACGTAAGATCTTATAGATTAGGCAGTTATATCATGACAAATCTACAAATTTAGGATTAGGTCTATTATTAGAGCAGTACTACTATCATAGTAGACCATAGTTCTACATGTCCATTCTCTACTTGGCTTTTATTATATAGTGGAATATCCCCATTACGTACTCAATGTTTGCCTTTTTTCAATTTTTGTTTGATTGGCGATTTCATGGCAATAACTGTTGAGTCCTTTGAGGCCATCAAAAGCGTACTCGAATGCTCAGTCATAATGTTATGACGAAAGCTTTTGGGAATTATTTTAATTAGATAGTATAATTCTGAATATCTAGCTCCCTTCACTCAATATGATGCCACAGTAATTAAAGAACAAGTGCAAATTATAGTGAATTAGGAAGTTTGAAAATATTCGAGAAAACGTTGGAAGCAGTATGTCTACTATATCTGTATGACGAAAGGTGAAGCTAATATGGAGTCCCTGATATGCGATGGTCTACACGAGTACTTACTATCCATTAACTTTCTCACTCTACAGCACAGTTTCGGAATATGTCACCTTTACATAACCACCCTGCTAACAGCGGTAGACAGATGGAAACTGTCTTTGATTACAAGGAGAAGGTTGACGTCATACACCTTTACTTCTCGAAAGCTTTTTATATGTTATATCAATAAGCTCAAGCCATTAGGTGTCAAATCACCTTTTATTGATTAGCTCACCTCACATCCAAACAATTGATTTTATAAATTCAGGGTAAACTTCTCAGGCTACAGAATGGACTAGTAGGGTCCCCACGGTCCAGTACCAGGACCCCTTCTTTTCTTAATCCACATACATGACCTTTCTCAATGAGTATAGTCAGATATTAGACTTTTCGCAACGATGCAATACCAGGAGAGAAGTTTGTTTTCAAGATGATAACCTGACAATTCAGGAGCATTTGAATTGACTTCAGAGTTCAGCAAACATAAACGGACTTATCTTAAACCCTCCAAAGTGTAAAGCAGTTTATCTGAGACACATCGCAGACTACGAATACAACGTAGTTAACTCCCCTCTAGAGGTATCCCTAGCTAGAAAGATCGAGCGATGTTGATACCCTGTGATCTGAAGTCTTATACTAGCTGTGATAAAATGAGTTTGAAGCAAACTTTACATTCGTAACGTTGTAGCGCATTTTCGGCCAATTCGACGAGGAAGTTTCCACCTAACCCTCAACTGTTTCATTCTGCCTCACTTAGAGCATGAAAATTCATTGCTAATTCCCTCCCTTCAAAATAATAAGGACACAATGGAAGGTATTCAATGGCGAGGGACTCAAATTCAGGTCTTAAGAAGAGCGCCCTCTATCACTGAACATCTACCCAATGGAGTACTGGTATATCAGAGGTGACCTTTTAATGAAACACATTCTACTCCTTAACAGTAGTCAAACGTTAGAGTTCGTGCCAACTGAGTCTGTCTAAGCGACTTTCTGAGAGTCCTGTAAGAGAAAACTTGACATATTCTTAAGGACTATTGGCATTATCACACTATAATTTACCAATTCTTTCATTCTCCTTTACCGTAAATATACCTAGATTCTTACTTGTTGACATCTGTGATCCATTGTTCCTAGATACCGAATCTCCTTAGGCAGAAGCTTCTCCCATTCCGTCCAGAATCCCTTGAAGCTTGTAAGAAACTTGACGACGGTTGAAACGCACCAAAAAATAGTTGATTCACTATACTTGACGTGAAGATGTGTTAAACGTTCGAAGACAGAAAACTTTTGTGCCACTTTCCAATTGCATTACGATAAAAACTGAGCTTTTGTTAAACTTCATAATTTCTGTAGGTCAAGAAATCAACACAAGTTTTAAATTATATATATTTACCCCGGGAATTTGCACAAATGTTGAGTGTTACAAAGGAAGATGTCATTGAACTACTCAGTTTCATGCTGGACGCTGATTTTAACGAACAAGTATTAAAGTGTTACCCAAAGGTAACTGGTACATTAATAATTAACACAATGAAACACTTAGGAAATATATAAAATAAACGATATTTGCAACGCACTAACATTTGAGGACTGTCCTACTGAAGTAAGCTGTCTAAAATTTTATTCTCCGCTAAGATTTTGGAGAATTTGAATGGCTTTATGTGTGGGCATTACCCACCGTATATTGCTATTCCCCGTACTCGACATGTATCTTCGTAAGAACAGAATCTGTACAATTATTTTAAATAGGTCGTTGGCCGACTTAGGTCAGCTTATGCTTCAGTCGAAGTTTGCTCGCTGCCGAACAAGATTTGTTGTCCCATCCTTTTCTTTTAAACACAAGGTTTGTTCAGTTTTGTAGTTAATATAGATTACTTTATACGACAATTATTGTTTATCATCAATTAACTCACTAGTATACCATACGTATGTTGTTTACAGTTCGTACACATGGGATATCATTAAAAATAACGTTAACTGACCATCATGAGCGTAGTTTCGTACTTTTCCTATGCAACCTCCAAGTCCCAGACGTTGCGAAGACCGGTAACTCCTCGCGCCATCTCTTGTCTAATGACCATTACTATTTATATCTTCAAATGCTCCTTCACCAATCATGGATGACTCAATGTTCTCGCCTCAGTATAACCGCTGTTGTGCTGTGAAGATCCACAACATATAATGGCACTTGATTAAGCACTGGTACACCGTCTCCCAAGGCACATTCATTTAATCTAATCTTGGGCTTGACTGCGACACTTCTACTTCTAGTAAAGCTAAGATAGTCAAACTGACATATTTTAGAACGTGGTCGAGTAGCCCGATAAAGGATCTGTTCAGACTATAACGGACTTAGGTTGGTTGGCATTGCATATTTATCAAGCTAAACGTCAGATACCAATATGAAGATCAGTAGCAATATCTTCACTTATCATACCCGCACACATCCACCCCCCCCTGGGAAACCCAGGTATGGCAAGACAATCCAATCCACAGTTTCCGACCGTTGTATAAATTGGTAATTTCATTCCAAACGTATCAAGGTCCAAGTAGACGTGGAATTTAGATCACATCAGGACACCAAAACTGATTAAAATTTGTAGGATCATTCGGATGTTTATCAGGGTTAAGTGAAAAATGTTTGAACTCCAAGTGATAGATGTTATCGTCCTCGTCAAAAAGTATGCGATCAAGATTAATTATCATTGTTATTTAGCGAACCCATATGCAACGAAATTCAGAATCATTGCTGCATATTTGTATATTGTGACGTTGTATTCCGATAGCTCTGATGTAAACTTAGTCAATAAAGGGTTAACTACTTGCTTGAGAATCAAAGGTACGACTTATTGATTAGTACTGCCCGATAGGTGGTATTTACCCCACCACACAGTTTCCTCAGTTCAAAATGTACTCCGTCAGTCCCACATCGCAGTTGGTCCAGTTATAAAAGAGGTGGTTTTACAATTTTGCGTATCTGGTAAAGACTGAGATTAGTTGCAGATTTCTTCTTGAGATCATTCAATGGAGTGTCCAAATATAGGGTAACTCCTTCCATTTGGTGCTATCTTGTCATCCTTTCTGCGCTAACTTTGTTTTGCACCAGGCTGTACCCGTGTTCATCTTAGATACATCTGAGACAAAGTTCTACTTGACAGGTGCTTCTATGTCGCTGAGTCATGTGTGTCACTTAGTGAGTCTGCTGCCGTTCAGCGATTTGTAATAGCAAACTGATGTACTTTCAAAAGCAAGTTCCAAGCTAACTAATTTTATATCCGATAGTTAGTAGGTGTTGAGGAAGATAGAACTATAGAACCAAACATAGACAAGGAGAGGTCGATCTATCTGTTGAATGAACCCTAGAGTTTCAATTAAATTTGATTTTTGATACGTTGGGATTCGTATTGTATGAAATGAATAAACTAGTAGAAGATGTTGTATTCTATTTCCTTGTTTGTTTTAAGATTAGTTTCACCCTTAGTTCTTTGTACCGAATCGATATTTGACGAAACATGTAAGAGTAAATTGGGATGAGGTAACTCAGTTGATGGTATCCTAGCCAATCGTTGGGTAGAATGGACATATTGTTTGAGTTTTATAGTTCTATTACCAGTTTTACGTTGTATAAAACAGATTGATAATCAGCAGTTAACTGATTTACACATGTTGTTTGATACCACCCTTTTGTGGTTTGGTGATATCAGGAAACGTTCGCTAATGTTCATGATTACTGTAGAATTGTACGCCCTACCATATTGGCATTGTATTCCCTTAAACGAAGTCACTTGAGTGAAAAAGTCATCTTTGTTCTTGATTGCTTATATTTTAGTGAAGGCTAGTTATCTTCTAGCTCCAATATTCTCTGTTAAATCCTTAGAAACCTGGAGATGTAGTAACCGTTATTTTGCCTTTCTAGTGTACTGTAATTATATACTAGCTATTTGCGACTTCACTAGCCTTTTTGAACCACATTTTCTGTTTGATTTACAAGCATCTTTGTCACTTGTACCTTAACTCCCTACTTTTACCTAATTAATCTCTTACTGCTAATATGAACTGTAGCTAAGTGAATTAATTGGTATGTGCTGGAGTATACATTGTTAATGACTGGTTTCAGCTTATTTAAACTGTTCATCGTGATTACAAATCTTTAGGTTTTGAATAAAGCAAATAAAAATAACAAAACTGGTTAAACATGTGAATTTGTTTAAGAATTATGTATATGCTTGTGTAAATTTCAGAGTGAACACTAACTCAGAAATGTTATGTTTCGTGACGTTTACGGATTTCCACAGTTAATAGTAAAAATAGATTACTGTAACTAAGGTAGATCACAGTTTGCTTGTTTGATTTATGTCACGAAATCTTTGTGTGTTCTTTCATTTCAGAATATATGCCGATGTAGTACTTTAAGCGGCCCATTAGAGTTTTATGGTCGCCAAGTTGCCACAGCTGCAGGTTTGTAAATTTACTTATTCATGTGATGACTAGACAGGCTTTACTTTTGATGGACATGTCAGTAACTCTTCAGGAGGAGAGTTTCCAGATACAAGTTTTGAGTGAGTTTTATTTGCTTAAACAGTTTTTGAGTATCTTTTTTACTGGGAATATATATCCATTAGGGTTTTACTTAATCAAACTTCAACTATCTTCAATTTTAAATGTTGAAGGTTCTTGGCTCAGTGCCTCTCATTTTTCTTTAAAACAATGAATTAGTATACTGAAGAAGCTGACTTTTATCTACTTAATATTAGGGTCTAACCTCATTCTATCTACTCTGGTTCAGCTAGCCATATAGCATCACTGAGCTCCACACGACGTGTAGCTGTTTCTTTTGAGCGCAAAACGTGAATTTCCTTTCCAATTTTCTAGCATACTTAATAATTAACTAAGAATCTCACATGATAAAAATCAGTCAGTTAGTGCTTACATTACAATATATTTGAACCAGACAGATCAGAAAATACATATCAAACAAATTTGAAATAAGTTAAACATATAGCTAGTTCGTTTGATCATTTGATTTTCAACTTATGGGTCATAGTTTAGAATTCTATTCCATTTTATAAATTCTAGATAACCAGATAGCTCGTACATAATAATTGTGACATATAGTCTACTCCATTAATGTTTAAATTGTTGTTGAGTTACTCCATCTCTTCGTCAATATTCTGCTCACTGAATTTTTGTACCTTTGACTGGTCTAGTTGTTGATGAATCTGATTTTAATTGTTGATTCTTTCTATAATATCTGAATAACATATGTTCTATTTACAAAATGCTTTCGCACTTCTTAAGGACAGAAAACGGACGTCACAGTTTGGAAAAATTACGTGATGATGATTGTGAATTAATTCGTCGTTTAAATGTCACCTATATTTGTGATTTTATGTTGGAGTACAGAAAGATAAAATGTTGGGTTCCGTAAGTTATTTCGTGATTTTTATTTTGTATTTCATTATTAACAACAAAAGCGTTATTTTTACAATCTTCGAATAACACATTCTATCGGACTGCTCCCCATATCGTTTTATATTTGTTTTTTAAATGGCTATCTTTTAGTTTTAGGCATCTTAGTTCTACCGACTTCAGATATTTTCCACTAATTAGTGGTTAAAGCACTTGCATTTAGACGAATAGATAAAAGATTCAAATGTGGCTTCATCTATTTCAGTTTTGGCAGTCGGGTATTATCATTAGTCGAGTAAATAAAACTAAGGTTTGTAAATGGGTTACAGATTCCATTGACCTTGGTGTAATATGTATAATTCTGTGCATCTTGTTTGTACTGTATTTTTCTTGTATCATAGTATTATATTTTAGTAAATATATCAATATTGTTTTTTCTAAATTGTTTTATTTACTTAAGTGTCTTACAAAAGTTCGTTGTTTTTAAATATAGCTTTCTCTAAGAACTGGTGTTAGTCAGTTGGTGAGCTAAAGTCGTTAAAATCTTGGTTTATAGGCAATCTGCTTTTAACATCTCTGGAAAACTTATTTCAAACTGCCTCAAATGAACTTATGTATTAATATACGCGTTAAACAACTATAAGTAGGACTGTTGAACTACACTAAATGTCGTAAAGAAAATCTTCCTCCCCCCAATGTCATGTCATTTCTTTAAGATCGTATGTCAGCTATATATATATGCTAGTCTTATTTCTTTCGATCGTATAGAATCAGTTCATCAGAAAAGGTGGATCAACAAGGACGCTATAATGATTTCGTAGTCATACCTCTCCCTTATCCTGGCAGCGAATTTTTCCGTATATGGCGTGATTCTGGTTATGCTATGCATCATGTATACTTTGACTGGAATCGGGTAATTATTATATTGTGACGTTTAAAACATATATTTTTCCACACAAATATAACCATTTTTTAAATTTTTTGGATTTGATGATGGGGAACAAAGTTATGCTAATTAACATGTAATTTTCTCTTTCTACATAAAAGTATCTTCTGATCAAGAAACTTAGATCATCTGAACAACTTTCTCACAGTGGGGGCTCCCAGTTGACTGTTTTGTCCTTTGAAAAGCAACCATTTTCGGAAACTTTGATACAGCTTCCTGTAAATAAAGTTGTTCTCACTACAACTGACGTTCCCTAGCAGTAATTCACCTTGAAAAACAGTATTTATGATCTTATTTGAACATAAAATGTCTAATTTAGTTCAAGGTCTACACCATTTAACTACGTTCCAAGGTAAAAACGAAAACAGCCCAGAAAGATAAAGAAAACTGACAGGAAGTACATTACCATATATCTTAAGTTTTAGCTGATTATATTTCAAGCTATTTAGTTACATAATTTATCAAACCTCTTTGACTAGGTTCCTATTTACACTCAATTATTAATGTAACACAGATATACTTCGCAGCATAATTCCTCATAAGAACATCTCATCACCAGAAAATAATACTTGATATAAAAATCACTGAAAGAAATATCCATTTGATTATTTCCACTTCATTTTGATCGCTTAACACAACTCAACAATTTTTAAAAGACTTTGGGTCAATACTGCATTATCCTTAAACAAATCAAGTCCATTTTTATGCTGCTATTATTTGCTGTAAATGTGATTTATTTTCTGGTCAAAAAACGTTATCTTTCATATATCTTGTCTCCCTTCACTTACAGACTGTTTGTAGTTGTGAATGGGTTATGTATTTAGGTAGTATACATACATTGTAAATACTCGTGTTATTTCAGGGTGTTAAAATAAAAAGCGGTTTTAGTATCATAAGGAAACTTTCATTTTTCTTTGTCTGCATAAAGATGCGAATGTTCAGTCATAACAGTCTAAACGGCCCACGAATTTTCAATGCTCACTACTTTTTGTACATCAATATGAGTTATCAGTAACAAGCGTTATCGAAGTCGGTGCTTTATACTCAGTAAAATCATCGATTAGCAAACAAAGGTTTTACAATATCTTCGTATATTTCAAATAAATAGATACATACTAAGTGTAGGTAACCTCAAGAAACTAGTCAATTATATATATATATATATATATATATATATATATAGAGAGAGAGAGAGAGAGAGAGAGAGAGAGAGAGATTTTGACCCTGTTAATTATCACGCGACAAAACCGCCAATCAGAACGTCGACTTATACAATCTTAGCCTTGTGCCAAACCAATGGCGCGTTAACCAGCACGAGCAGCCTAGAGTCAACTCTGAATCTTCGCCTAGCCCTACCCGTTCGAGTTCATAATACAATCTCAGCTTCTACTGTATTAATCACGTAGTTCATACGTACGCAATTTATATACAAGCAAATTAGACCACATCACACCACAAAATAGAAAATAACAATTATAAACTATCTAGCCAAAGTAAGCTGTGAATGTGAATGTAACTAATGGACTGGGTATAACTTGGGATTAGTAAGTCGTATAATAGCAGCCAATAGGTCAAATAAAAGCTTATGATAAAAGGAATATGAATATACATATAATAGTTATCCAATAGAAATATATGTAATAATAGTACACAAATAATTTATAGTAGTTACTTACTTACAACTGTTACGCTTTGTGGAGAAACATATCCCGCTCACCAGCATTCTCCATCCAATCCTTTCCAGTTGTTTCCACTTGCTATTCATCTTTTTGATGTCTGCTTGCAATGTTCGACGCAGTGCATTTGGCCTCTTTTTCGTTTCCCTTCAGAATTCCAAGTTAGCGCCTGCTTCGTGACGCAGTTTGGTGATTTCCGTAATGTATGTCACGTCTACTTTCGACGTCTTTTCCTAATTTCCTTTTCAGTTGCTTGATTGTCTCCCATATTATACTGTTGCTGATGGTATCCGGCCAACGGATATTGAGTATCTTGAGCAGACAACTGTTTAAAAATACTTATACCTTTTTGATTGTGGTTATAGTAGTTCTCCAAGTTTCAGCTCAGTACAGTAGAACTGTGTTGACGTTCGTATTGAAGATTCTCACTTTGATGTTGGTTGACAGTTGTTTTAGTCATCAGAATTGATTACCTCAAGTGGTGTTCGTCAGGGCTGTCCACTCTCTCCATTCTTGTTCAACTTTGTCGTCGACGTACTTTTAGAGATAATACTTTCCTCGTCTAAATTTCCAGGTGTTGAACTTCTACCGGGAGGTTCACTTGTTGACTTAGAATATGCTGATGACATAGTCTTATTTGGTGAAGACGCTGACAAAATGCAGAGTCTTCTGACCACTCTAAGCAACATTGCAAGCATGTTCGGATGCGATTCTCCCCCTCGAAATGCAAAATGTTGCTTCAGGATTGGGTTACATCGACACCCGAACTAGTGATAGGGAGTGAAGTAGTTGAGCGTGTCGATCGCTTCACTTATCTTGGAAGTCTCATCAGCCCTTGTGGTCTGGTGTGTGACGAAATCTCAGCACTAATACAGAAGGCTCGACTAGCTTTTACCAACTAGCGTCATTTATGGCGTAGACGAGATATCCGTCTATCAACCAAAGAACGTGTTTACTGCTCAGCAGTTCGTCCCATCCTACTTTATGGCAGTGAAACATGACCGGTAAGAGTAGATTATATTAGTAGGTTACTAGTATTTGATCAAAGGTGTCTTCGAAATATTGCTCGTATATCATGGGACCATCGAGTAAGTAGTGAAGTTGTTAGGAAACGGGTACTAGGTAAGGATGGCAAATCAATTCATGACGTAGTGAAACTTCATCAGTTGAGATGGCTGGGACACGTGTTACGTATGCCCAACGACTGACTACCTCGACGTGCTATGTTCAGTGGTATAGGAGTAGGTTGGAAGAAAGCTAGGGGCGGCCAAACCAAAACATGGCACAAGTCCATGAAGTCACTGACAAGTGGACTGAGTCATGTTGGTAGGTGTAGACTACCTGGTTGGGGACCACGAGATGATAGCAACCGATGGTTAGAGACCCTGAATGACATAGCTCAAAATCGTTTACAATGGCGCAGGTGCATACACTCTTTGTGTTCTCCCAAATTTTGATCTCCTTATTCCTCCTTGTCTCTTTTTTTTCTCTTCCCAAATTTATTTCACTGTATTATACTCTTCAAATAACATCTCCAAACACTAATTTTCCTGATTACTGCTTATACTCTTATTACCTCTACCACTACGGGATTTGAATCGACCACTGCATCTCTGTGCTAATGTGGTGTGGCAACTCGAACTGATGTACGTACGTACAAAGTTCTACGTTGTTACTGACTGACTGACTGACTGACAGTCGTTTTGAGTTCAATTGTAGGAATGTTGACCTTACTTTGCCAATCCTCTCGCTTACGTCTTCATTCGATCCTCCTCATTCATCTATGGTATTCATGTAGGTGAAAGATTCCACCTCTTCCGGATTTTCTCCATCAAGCGTGATTGGGTTGTTGTTCTCCGTGTTGAATTTGAGGGTCTTGAATTTTCCCTTGTGTATGTTGAAATCTACTGATGCATAGACTTCTGCTACACTAATTGTCTTCATCTGCATTTGTTGGTGATCTGCGCAGTCCAAATCACGCAGTTCCATCCAAGCTGTCCATTGTATTCTGTGCTTTCCTTGAGATATGGAGGACTTCATAGTTCAGTCAATCACCAGAAGAAAGAGGAAGGGGGAAAGTAAGCATCCTTGTCTGACACCAGTATGTAGATAGTTAATTAGTACAACTATTCACTAAAATTGCACGTATGATGCCCGGTCTCTGCATGAAACTGTATATATCTGCTTACGTTTGGCTTCAAATTATCAGAACTTCCCGTTAATGTATGGGAATTATTTTATTTTCTCTATCAAACTATTTTCATTTCATTTCCATACCTAGTATTTTTAAATCGATGAAATTAAGTGAAAACTGGTTAGTAGATGACCAGGTTAAAATTTACTATAATATATTTGGGTGATGGGAATTCAAAAGGCATGGAATAACACAATTGCTTCTTTTTCAACATCAGCGACATATAGTTGGAATCTCTTAAACTGGTGATTTCGCAAATATAGAAGATTAAGATTATTCGTAACTGTTGTTTTCATCTAAAAAGTAACATAAACCTGATTGTTTGTTAGTTTATTCTTATGTAATGTTCACAACAAATAGGTATTGAGTAAAACATTAGTTTATTATATATCGTAATTCTGTTATTGTGAAAATGTAACGTAGAAATCTGTAAATAATGTATACGATATAATCAAATATCATGTATTTAGGATAGCAACTATGAAATTAGTACGTTGAAAGTGAACATTTCTTCCTATTAAGGAAATGAATACCGATCAAATGTTAATAGTATCAACTAACCGAACTTTATAATGTCTAAAGTGTAATGTGACCTTTTTAGTTCCTGGTCTAAGAATGCTTTGTAATCACTGAACTGTACAAATTAACATCTTAGTGTACTACATTTGTTGTTAAATGGGTCAAGGTAGTCGACAAGAGTAATGGTAAACCTAATTTTTCATGATTTTGTCTGGCGTAAGTTACTATCCGAAGACTTATTTGGATACTTAATCGAGAACTGCACGACATATAGTCCCTATTGTAATATGTCAAAAAGAACATCTCTGACTACATTCTTAACAAACTTGTAGTTAGTTGTTTTTGTAGGAAATATTATTTGAGACATTTCTTTATACTGTTTACAGTAATTTAAGTGGAACTGCAATCTATGGATGAACCAATCCGATTTAAGACGGTGACACTCGAATTTTGATGCAGAATCAATCAATCCATTCGGCTAAATAGCATTTGGGCATCATGGTTGATGTCAGTCCGTGATGTGAACCCTAATTCTAGTCCCTGACCCTAAAATCTAACTTCTGATCCTGATTACCCACACTAATATATAATGTTATTTTTACAACAGGAAGTGGTCAAAGTTTCTCCAGGTCAATTCACGATCTCTCAAAGGTAATCTGTAGATTACATTCTCGCCATTATTTATTTTCAGTTTTAGTAAATTGTATTCTGTTTCAGCGTTGGGATTTTCAAATTACTATTTCTACCTTTTGGTTGTCGTTTGATTTGTTTTATGTTGTAGTCAGGAGTTGAGGTGTCCGTCAATCCAAACCTTATACCGAAAACTCTGTTATCTTGCTCAGTAGAATGGGACTTGTACAAGGTTGGTTTAATCTTTAAGGAAACTACGTATTACTTTCATTGAGCTTATTCATATAATATTTCATTTCTAAGCTATGTATTGCATTTTAACCAAAAGCAAGTGGATTTATGGACAAGATATTGAACTGGTGGATGTAGGATGGTTGAATGATGACTGCTTTTGAAAACCAGATTTATGATGCTAAACCTTTAAATGACCAAAGATCAAAGAACCACCTAACTGGTCGGTAAAGTCCCTTTTTCAGCGAACGAAAATCATGCTCATTTTCAAAGGTCAAGGTAGAGTAAACATTACTTAGTTAATTTAGTAAGGGGAAGTAGTCTATAACTGGTTGTTTCACATACTAACTACCAACTTACTTTCTTACTGATGTATAACATTCATTCTCATAGTAGAACAACAGTATAGTGATCTGTCACGAATGTTATATTATTTCAACCTGGCTCCACTTATAGTCAATTGTCAGCAGATTAATTAGAATAAAACCATTGGATTCCAAACAATTATACCGGCAGAAATGTGAGATTTAAAGAAGATCCTAAAATAACGTTTGGGAACATTAGATCAATACTTATAATAGTTCAATCTTTGGCATATAAATCAAGATAGAAAACGAATGCAAAAACGAAACACTAAATTTATTAATTTCAAATTATCTGCGAATTCAACCAAGAAACATTTACCCTAACACATAATAAATGTCCTTGTCTTTTCATATCACATTTTTGGCCGGCTATTGTTAACATTTTTTAATTTATAATTTTTAAACCAATAAATTGTGTTGTGGGAAACCGGAGATTTAGTAAAAATGATAAATAACTTAGTCGTTTTAAACCTACATATATAAGACGTCAAAATTATTGGTTGTCTATATAATGATATTTTGTTTTCCACTGAACTACATATTGTAACAACCAGTAGTCGGTTCTTATCTCAAGGATTTTTATCCCTTTCATGATCAGTCACGTCACGAGTGAACCTTTTCTCAAAAGTGATACAATCCATTAAGTTTTTATAACTTTCTGTATGAACAATTAGATTTCCCCATCAGTCTTTCCTATCCAGAGTGAATATGGCGATAAAGTCGCTCTACCTTCACTACTTTGTAGCTTTCATTTTTTGTACCCTTTATACTCCTGTTTTCGAACTAAAAACTGATAGAATTCCCAGTTGAGTTCCATTTTTCATGGAGCAAACTCTGAAGATGTCATCTGGAACGTTCAAGAATGCTTTTCAGTTAAATCATTTGGCTCAGAACGTAACGGTACTAAAATATTTTCCAGCGTCTTATCCAATAATTTTTTTCACGAGAAAATTAACTCTCTTAAATGTGGTTTTATCTACACATTATCTCTTACCAATTCTGTTTAATGGCGATGTGGATCTGTTGCCTGGAGAAAGACTTCTCGACCTTGAGTATGCGGATGATATTGTCTTACTGTGCGATAATGCTCAAGGCATGCAATCCGCACTTAATCAGTTGGCAATCAATGTCCGTAGGTACGGTATGTGCTTTGCACCTTCGAAGTGCAAAGTACTTCTACAAGACTTGCAGGATCCTAATCGTGTACTCACCCTGGATGGTGAGCAGATAGAAGTAGTCGAGAAGTTCGTGTATCTAGGTAGCTGCATAATTGCTGGTGGTGGCGTGAGTGATGAGATCAATGCACGTATATTGAAAGCCAGAGCGGCTTATGCCAATCTGGGCCATCTTTGGCGCCTTCGTGATATTAGTCTGGCTGTAAAAGGTCGGATCTACAACGCGTCGGTGAGAGCAGTTCTGCTCTATGCTTGTGAAACCTGGCCTCTCCGAGTTGAGGATGTTAGACGACTCTCTGTGTTTGATCATCGTTGTCTCCGAAGGATCGCTGACTTCCAGTGGCAACACCATGTCAGTAATGCAGAGGTTCGATATCGTGTGTTCGGGCACACAGATGATAATGCAATCGGTGTCACAATCTTAAAACTTTGACTTCAGTGGCTTGGACATGTTCTGCGAATGTCGTCCCAGAGAATTCCACTTACTTACTTACTTCCGCCTGTTACTCCCAATGGAGCATAGGCCGCCGACCAGAATTCTCCAACCCACTCTGTCCTGGGCCTTCTTTTCTAGTTCCATCCAATTCTTGTTCATTTTTCTCATGTCGGTCTCCATTTCTCGGCGTAATGTGTTCTTTGGTCTTCCTCTTTTCCTTTCGCCTTGAGGATTCCATGTGAGGGCTTGTCTTGTGACGCAGTTGGGTGCGTTCCTCAATGTGTGTCCTATCCGCTTCCAGCGCTTCTTCCTGATTTCTTCCTCCGCTGGGATCTGGTTTGTTCTCTCCCACAGTACGTTTTTGCTAATAGTGTCCGGCCAATGGATCTGAAGTATTTTGCGTAGACAATTGTTAATAAACACCTGTATTTTCTGGATGATGGCTTTCATAGTTCTCCAGGTTTCTGCCCCATATAGTAGAACTGTCTTGACATTTGTATTGAAAATCCTGACCTTGGTGTTGGTTGACAGTTGCTTTGAGTTCCAGATGTTCTTCAGTTGTAAATATGCTGCTCTTGCTTTGCCGATCCGCGCCTTCACATCTGCATCAGATCCACCTTGTTCATCAGTGATGCTGCCCAAATATGTAAAGGTTTTTACATCTTCCAAATCTTCTCCGTCAATTGTGATTGGATTGGTGCATTCTGTGTTGTATCAGAGAATCCTGCTTTTCCCTTTGTGTATATTGAGACCTACTGCTGCTGAGGCTGCTGCCACACTGTTCGTCTTCTCCTGCATCTGTTGTTGCGTTTGGGATAGAAGGGCCAGATCATCTGCGAAGTCTAGATCATCCAACTGCATCTTAGATGCCCATTGTATCCCGCGCTTCCCTTCAGACGTTGACGTCTTCATGATCCAGTCGATCACCAGGAGAAAGAGAAAGGGTGAGAGTAAGCAACCTTGCCTAACACCGGTCTTCACTTCGAACGACTTTGTCAACTGTCCTCCATGCACAATTTTGCAGTGTAATCCATCATATGAGTTCTGTATGATATTGACTATCTTCTGGGGCACGCCGTAGTGTCGAAGAAGTTTCCGTAGTGTTGTTCTGTCCACGCTATCAAATGCCTTTTCGTAGTCAATGAAGTTGATGTAGAGTGATGAATTCCATTCAATTGATTATTCCACAATGATCCGTAGAGTTGCGATTTGGTCTGTACACGATCTATCCTTACGGAATCCTGCCTGTTGGTCTCGAAGTTGGGGTCTACGGATTCCTTTATCATGTTTAACAATACCCTGTTGAAGACTTTTCCCGGTATTGAGAGAAAAATGATGCCCCTGTAGTTATCACACTTGCTGAGATCGCCTTTCTTCGGTATTTTGATCAGAAGTCCCTTTTTCCAGTCTGTTGGTACTTGTTCCTCATCCCAAATCTTATTGAAGAGAATGTAGAGTATCCTTGCAGTTACCGCTACGTCTGCTTTTAGTGCCTCTGCTGGGATGTTGAGAGAATTCCACGTCGTGCATTATTTGCCGTCGCTCGAACTGGTTGGAAAAAGCGGAGAGGTGGTCAGTGTATGACATGGTGTCGTGGTATGAAAGAAAGCTGCAAAGGGCTGGCCAGTGTTGGTCTTTCACGACTCCTTGGCTGTAGTCCTAGAGATGGTGCAACACAGTGGCTAGAGACGTTATCAGTTATGGCTCAGAATAGAATCCAATGGCGATCCTGTCGTAACCTTCTTTTACTTTCTTCATAAAAAGTGGTTGTTTCTTCCTTATCTGAAAGATTTCTTCTGATTATACCTTTCCGTTTCCCTCATTATTACTATTATTATTATTACACTACCTTACACTAATCTGTTTGTTATTGTTTTTTTGTTTTCTCTTCGAATTCTCATTGTTTTGTGTGGCGCGTATATATTTAGTGCCCTCTTGTACCAATATTTATGTGTTCAAATAAATAAATGATAAATAAATACTCTGTTTACAAGTACTATGGAAGAAAATGTCATATATTAATTGTTAACATTCCTTTTTGATTTCATTAGCTATGTTCTCAGTGTAATTATGAGTAACTGTTTATGAATTTTATCAGTTCAAAATGTATACTATCGCCAACTTGAAACTGACTAGTTAAATATATTGTTTTCTAATAATATATTTCAGTCCTGGGATATATATACAATTACTGTGAACTATATGAAATTGCTTCTTGGATTACTCTACGAAGGTAATCATCATCTCCATACATATTGGTCAATTTTTGTTGCTTTAAAAATAAAAAATAAATTTACTTACAACGTACAACAATTAAAGATGTGTTTCTTTTTTTCCTTGGAAAACTGTTTCACCTAAAACTGGGACCGGTAGTTTTTGTGGTTAGAACATCCAGCTTTGAACTACTTGTTTGTAGGTTTGAGCCTCATTCTGTACTTAACGAAGACTTGGTGGGGATAACCAATTTGTTTTTTAATGCACAATCACTCAGTGGTTTAGTAAAATGTGAAAATCATACATCATATGCACATCGTCTCTTAAAAGCTTCATTCATGTTGTTATCTTGATTGCTTTCAGTTTCCTTCTCTCTTCCCTTTATTTCAATCTTCTCAACCTTCTGCTTGCAGACATTCCACTTCCGACTGGTGATACATACTACGTATATCTGCAAACATAGGTAGCATACACCACAATTCCATTTACTAATTTTGGGTAGCCCGACAATCTTTTTTGCCTTTCACTCAATGTGTGTAATTGAAAGTCGAGTACATAAACCTATACTTGATAAAGTCAATAATTTTACCTGAATTTGCGTTTTTTTTAAGGAATAGCAGTTAGTTTGTTGAATTCTTACGTTCTCCTTCGTATTTTCAATCGAAATATAACTTTATCCATTTATCCGTATTCAACAAAATAGAATTTAAAATAACATAATATCAGAATGACTATTCACTGAAAAAAAAAAGAAATATGAACTAAAAACAATTCTTTGAACTAGTTATAACTTGATATTTGAAAATACACTGACATATGTACTCAAATCTTAGCCATTTCATTTCAGGTTCATATCCTGATATTATTTGTCTCTGTGTAAAGACTAATTACTTGTACTTTGACATATAGGTAGATGTTAGTATTCTCGATCTTGAGCTACATATTTCGTATAATGGTTGCCCAACTGGGATAGTTGGAATGCGATTCGTACTTGTGATTTCCTGAGCGAAAATTTCATATATATTATGTCTTGTGTACGTGGATAAATAAAGAAGTCTTTCGTTAAAAGCATGGAATATAATACTCAGGTTTTGGTTTCTTTGAGTGAAACATCTATTTTTATTGAAGTTTTCGTCATCTTTGTGAGGTTTGTAATTATTAAACATTCCATATAAATAGATCAATATTAAGAGTTTGTTTGACCCATTCTTGGTCAATCAGCGCTAGTGGATAAGTGGAAAAGGCCCTAGAATCTTGTGTAAAATTATGAATATAATAAGTTTTTCTGACTGTGATTCACTTCCATTCAACTTAATTTATTTGGGACATAATTACGTACCTGTCCAAGCCGTGTTCTGATTTTGGGGACTAGTCGAGTGAAGTGTCCGAAGAATACTAAGTCATAAGAGTATTGGGGTCGGATAATAAAAGACTTACCAACGATCGTTTATTATTTCTTTACTTAGCTAATTAATTGGATCTATTTCAGAATATTTATTAATTTTTGAATTAGTTAGGCACTGAATTTGTAAAATATTCTCCAGTCATTTTATGTTGCATCTTTCTAGGTCCAAATCCTTCACATATTTATCCACATACATTGGTATGGCATAAACTACTTTATTGTGTTTAGGTTCAAAACGTTTTTAAACAAATAAGGATTCAGAATCCACTTATTCGGTTCAGTGTTCTTTACTGTTGTACTAGTTTATCTTATCTATAACATTCAACTCGTCCTTCGTTGTTGTACTAATCCAAACATCGTTATCACTGTACATGTATGGACTTTTCAAATTACTTACGAATATTCAACATTAAGTGAAATCAGCCTCGTTACCGAGACATATGTATTGCAGAATTTATCTTATTTTCACTTTTTATTAAAGTTGGTTTTTTCATAGATCTCAGTAATGTGTGCACCTCAATTTGTAACTCCGAAATCGGCTGTGATTCGCACTATACAAATAAGACTGATGTAGATGAAGATTCTTATTGTCCCTCGAAAGCGAAAATACAACAACAGTTGTTTTAACGGTGAGTAGCTGGTACAATCTACTGGAAATTATGAATCGCACGACGCAAGTGAGACTAAGAAGACGATAGACGAGAGTTTATATGACACTCAAAATTGATATGAAATACATCTCTTTTTGTGTTTTAGTAACAGTGATGAGTAGTCAGATTCCTGTAAATTAAACTAAATAGTACTTTAATCAATGCACAACCTACTGCATAAATATAAATTTACATCGTAAAGTTGTCTGTAAGTAGCAGATATAACTAATAAAATTACTCCTTAAAATGTGATTACATGTCGTAGGTGATTTGAAAAAGAAACTCATTTTGTGGGTCACTAATCTTCCAACTGAAGTCTTGAACATCATATCAGATTGGTTATATTGATTACAGTTACATAGGTCAATAGACTATCTGGTGTGTATTTGAACTAAATATAAATTTAAAAGGGCCTAAAAAATATCATTTCCTTATCGTAAATTACACACTAGACGTTAAACTTTAAAATATTTGAGCCCATAGAATTTCTAAAACTTTTATATTTTGACTGAATATCATCTTTCAACAGGATCATACTACTGTTTAGTGGAATACTGAGAATTAAATATAGCATGAAATTTTAAGTTATTACTTATTGTGTTTAAAAACATGAACAGTTTGTAGACAAGCATTTGTCAGGTATTATCGGTACAATAAACCAATCCAATCAGCTAACACTAGAAAACAAAACATAAAAGTATATGACAGTGGAACTACTGACATTATCAATCGAAGTACTAATGTTAGAAGCAATCATTCAAAGCATTTTTTTAACTGTATAACTTGAAATCATACTTAACAATGCATGGTAGTCAGAAACGTTCGAATACTTTGTTTGATTTCTTGAATGATTTCCGGTTTTTCATCGAACGTTTTCGACCATTTCGACGGTCTCATAACTTATTAATAAAATGTTTTAGTTATTCAACCTTTTTCGCTATACTTTGGTTAGAGACCCTGAATGACATGGCTCAAAATCGTTTGCAATGGCGCAAGTGCATACACTCTTTGTGTTCTCCCAAATTCAAATCTTCTGAATTCTTAATGCCCCTTATTCTCTTTCCAAATTTATTTCACTGTATTATACTCCTTGAATAACATCTTCAAACCCTAATGTTTCCGATTACTGCTTATACTCTTACTACCTCTACCGCTACGGAATTTGAGTTGACAACTGCATCTCTGTGCTAATGTGGTATGGCAACTCGAACTGATGTACGTACGTACGAAGTTCTACGTTGTTACTGACTGCTATACTTCACCATATACTATTGTAGGTATAATTAGAAAACTGGTTTCAACTTATACAGTTTTAACGGGGAACAAATTTCGACTAGCTTCAAACTTGATTATTATTATATAGTCACGAACGACGATTTAATTATAATTAAGGTTATTAAAACATATGACTGAGTAAATATATAAAATTTATTTCGTCATAAAAATAGCACTCACGACGCCAACTAGCATAACATTTAATACTTTATAGTTTATTTTGTATGTAAGAGTCTCATGAAATCATCTTAGTCTTGACTAGATATAAATAAACATTGATTTTTACACTTGTCATCTATTAAATTAATTTTTCAATTTATTCACAATCCTTATTTATTATTATTATTAATAGGTGCTGGAGGCTTACTATTACATTGTGTTTCTGGATGGGATCGTACACCATTGTTTATTTGTCTACTTCGCTGTTTACTTTGGGCTGATGATTTAATGCATTGTAGTTTAACACCTATTCAAATGTTATATCTTACTCTTGGATATGATTGGTTCTTGTTTGGTCATAAATTGAAAACACGTATGGAATTGGGTGAAGAAATACTCCGATTTACTTTTCAATTTATCGGTGAAATGGCTAAATGTACAGAATTATCACTTCGCAGAGTGTATGTGTTGATGGCGTCTTCATTTCGAGTATTGCTCTTTATCTTATTATTTTTCTCAGAAGGGGTTTGTGGAGATTTTAGAAATTTCACAGGTTGAAATCATGAGTCAGTTGATGCTAGACCACCATTGAAAACCTGGAAGCACTGGACGGCCGTTTCGTCCTAGTATGGGACTCCTCAGCAGTGCGCATCCACGATCCCGCACCACTGAGCCGGCATCCAACGGTGTTAATGTCTAACTTCAACCAATCCACGAAGTTGCGCCACCATATACCATTGTCTTCAGTGAGCTGATATCTCACAACAGACCTGGTTGTACTCCACTGGTAACGGCTTCCCACTAGAACTCCAGGAATATCTCTTGAAGTCAGTCACTAGTGAGCAGATGATTATTATCAGAAGGGGTTTGTGGAGATTTTAGAAATTTTCACACATTGAAATCATGAGTCAGTTGAAGCTAGACCACCATTGTGGATGCGCACTGCTGAGGAGTCCCATACTAGGACGAAACGGCCGTCCAGTGCTTCCAGGTTTTCAATGGTGGTCTATCTTCAACTGACTCATGATTTCAATCTTATTATTTTTCTGTCAACCATGTACTCTTGTTGTTTTCACCACTGACTGACCTTTGCTAAACAGTAACTGAAAACCGTCAAATACTGAATATTCATCGAGATCATTAGCCGATCAATGTTAGACCATCATTGCAAACCTAGAAGCACTGAACGGCCATTGCATCCTACCATGGGACTCCTCAGCAGTGTGTATTCACGATCCCGCACATGGGATTAGATTTTTGCTTGTATGGGCTGGAACTATTGTAAGTTTTATCTCTAAAAGCATGTCTGTGACAAATATATATAAAACCGTGGAAAGAGAATAACCCTGACGAACATTACCTATAGCAATCAATTTCTATGGCAGTTTTCTATAAGCTCTGACTCAACCAGAAGTGTTCGAGTAAAGATCCTGTACAAGGTCAATGTACTTCTTTGGCACGCCTTTTAGTGACAGACACTGCCATAAAACCTCACTATCAAATTAGTCGGGTGCTGTCTTAAGGAATATAATTATAGTCAGATGTCCAGTAGTATAGCTGTGTCCCAGAACCTGCCGATAGGTGAATATTTGGTCTATACATCCACGTCCAGGTCTGAAACCAGCCTGGTTTTCTCGAGTTTGCTATTCAAGAGCTCTAGTTATACGTCGAAGTATTATTGAGGCTAATATTTTAGACACTACTAGTTAAACTGTCGTGAGATATCAACTCACTGAAGACAATGGTGTAGGTGGCGCAACTTCGTGGATTGGTCGAAGTTAGACATTAACACCGTTGTATGCCGGCTCAGTGGTCTAATGGTTAGGCGCTCGTGCGCGAGGTTGATAGGTCCTGGGCTCGAATCTCGCGGGGTCGTGGATGTGCACTCTCGAGGAGTCCCATACTAAGACGGAACGGCCATCCAGTGCTTCCAGGTTTTCCATGGTGGTATAGCTTCAATTGACTCGTGATTTCAACTATTGTGATTCCTGTCTGTTTGTCACAAGAGAATTTTTTTCCCTTTCTTGTAGACTGGGTCGAATAGCGGTCGGGTCAAATGAAATTAAGTTCAGTTCCCAGATTTTAGCTAAGTTCTCAGTTAATTTAACTGCTAAAACGGGACCACCATCCTTAGAAATCTCAGTAGATAATCTATCAGTTTTCCCTGCTTTCCCTCGCTCTGGATTACTTATAGCCTTTTCAACATCATTAAGATTTTGAAGAATCATATCAATCAGTTATTTCTTTTTGATATGAAACTCCTCACCAGTATCTATCAACGACTCCAGTGGGAGAGAACGCCGAACATTTAGGTCTTTCAAGAACCTCCACAAACCGCTCATGTTAATATTAATCATGTATCTACCAATGGTCGGTTTCGGGGAGACAATTTCCTAATTTCTATTGAGAAACCATGGCCTATGGGTTCCACTTGTTTTGAAGTGAGACATCCACTTCACCTAATATTGCCATTAGATAATGATCGCACATTATCACCAATTGGTTAGATTTAGACTTATAAGCCACTGGATGACGATTCAGCAATCTAAGTTTTAGGCCTTAACCATAAGAATCGCGTATATTTATGTTCGACCATCATCAAGTTTGTTAGTGTGTTCTACCAAGGACCTTTTACACAAAATAGCTTCCTGATTTTCATCGGTTCCCGAACTAAGGTCAGTCCATGAAGTACACTACAACATTGAAAACTCCCCACAAACCCCCTATACTAAAGCTGTTTTGATGATTTGTGTTTCTGGTTTTTTACAGCTATGATATTCACGTTACTGATGGGTCTAAAAGTTCAGGTAATTCGTAATTTCTTTTGTTAAGATCAGTTCTTAATATAAACCAGAAAAATCCTATAATCTCTACAATCCCTATAACAATAATATGTTACTTTGTTGTAACGCATAATTTTACATAATAATTAATCAATATTCAATTATTCTGTTTGATCTCTTTGATGAAATTACCATTTGAGATGGTGGAAAAGATTTGTAGCTCAGGTGAAGTTTGTACTGATGATGTCGTTTAGAAGAACGATGAAAGCTCCACGATCAAACCATCCAGCTCAGAGCACAAAACTCCATCGAAATTACCATTAATTTTTTTTGCTGAGCTACATTTACTAGGGTTGTTTATTTATGTATGCAATATTCATTAGTCTGTTCGCCACACCTTTATTCTCACTTGATAGATCGGAATTTTCTGTTAGCAAATATATTATATGATAATATTTGCAACAAATGTCAACTAATTTCTAGTGCCTTTATTTTGCTCTTGTTTTTCAATTTTGCTATGCAGATTCGGATGATTCTTCGTTTATGTGAGTTGCTTTATATATATATATATATATATATATATATATATTCGTTGGCATGTTAACATATAAAACTTTCATTTATTACTAACTCTTTCTATGAATGATGAGAATAAATTTTCGTTGTTTGAATTGTGCACTTCATTACTCTTCCTTAACTTAATTGTCTAATGTCACAAGTAGTATAATCGACAAATGAAGTCATATGACAAACTTAAATGCATTCAAATCTGAAGTTATAGGTTGAAGATGTTTTGTTATTAACAGAATGACATGTATTCGTATAAATATTCTGTTTCTATTATAAGTACTAATTTAATGGAGATAATTTATGAGAACTGAAATTTGTGTGAATATTTTGTAAATATAAAGTGAAGAGAACATGAGATTATAATAACTCTTCACTTTTCATTGGATTTTCGAAATTCGTTAGACAACCATTGAAAACGTTTAAGCACTGAATGGTCATTTCGTCCTAGTATAGAACTGCTCAAAAATACTCATTCATAACCCATGGGAATCGAGTTACTTTCACATGTGAAAGCCTGAAAACCAGACTTAGATCGATTTGTGGTTTCAATAACATTCAACGATCTCTACAACCTCCATACGGAAGATTATCATGTCCTCACTGGTGACTATCTTCGCGAAGAAATTTCCGGAGTTCTAATGAGAAGCCGTGACTCCTGTCGAGTTCAACTATATCAGGTTTAGGGGAAATACACACCAAAGATAATGTAAGATAATTAAACAATACCGTAAATTCTCTGCCAGCTTACTTGGTTTTTTTATCCAAGTTTCTTCTGTCTAGATTATTAGCTGGTATCTGCTTTAGAGGCAGTGACTTAACGTTTAAATCATTCGACTTTCAGTCAATTTTAGACGTACGTTTGAACTACATTTTAACAGATTCGATTTCAGCAATTAAGCACTATCACTGTGTGACGTATGCTACTTATGTTGACATATCTGAGTAGTATGTAACACCGATCAGAAGTAGAGTGCCTGTCAAAAGAAGGTTGAGAAGATTGAACTGAAAAAAACAGAAAGGGAAACATAAAGGAATTGAGCACTGGACGAATCGTGAAGGGTGTAAAGGACAACTGATGGAAGATATGCAAGTGAAGTATTTATTGTATGGTCTTCATGATTTACGATGACACTGTAATTCTTCACTAGACAATTAATTGGTCTTCTCCACCATGTCTTCGTTTACTAAATTTGGTGTCTCTGCCAAATGGGAGACTAAGAGAGTTCAGTTCTGCGAGCGCCGTTGCGGCCTTGAAAAGGAGTCACTAGTTTGGGCGGTCTGTTGCAGCTATACCTCAATTACAGTTTATAGCTTTAAGTTCAGTATATTAACCGGTGCATTCGAAGTATCAAATATATTTAAATCTGTAAAAAAATTATACCACTATGTTAAGTAAATAAACAATGCTTAAATTACCTGATTTTTGCATACACGTTTCTAAGTTTAAATCTCTCTCGTCCTCCTTCGTATCAGTCGCCTGGATAATTCTACTTGACTCCATTTGGTATGTTTACCTGAACACAAAATATATAAAATTACACTAGGTAAACGAGTTATATGGATGAAGTAGTCGGAGAAAGAATCATGGTACATATCTTCTACAAACAGTTCGATGGGTAGTTTACGGGATTTAGAAACACAATGTTTAAAATTCACTCTCAAAATATTGACTAATATGCTGAAAGGTTAATTTCATCACTAGATCAATTCGGAGAGTGACAAATTTTATCTGTCATAAAATAAATGTAATTCATTCGTTAAGGAACCTAATTACTACTGTATTTTTTCAGTGATTTACGCTCCAGTGATGATTTACAACCCTTAAGGCAATCACGATTAGAAGAATTGTCAAATTTATTCTTTGAATTTTGGAATGAAGAAACTAAAAGACGTGAAGTTCAATCTACTATCAACAGTATTGGACCCATTGCCAACGAATCTGTAGTTCCGGATAAAAATACCCAGTCAATATCAAATTCTGAAGGAAAATCAACTTTTAATAGTGATGATGAATCATCATCAGGTCATGAAAACTATACATCCAGAAATAGCAATAAACCCTCTGAAAATCAAAATTCAATTGTTTCTCAAGTTAGTTTTAATTATACACATATAATATTTTGATTTATGAACCTATAAATATTGTTTGTACTGTAATGAGGCTGTATTACTAAGTAATTTGAAAATTACCCCGCCCTATGGTTAGCAACAGTTTGCTTTTGATCATGAACATAGTTCACAGTAATTTCAACATCATCTGGTTTATAATATCCATCCATACTTGCCTTTTGTTCGAAATTTTACTCGTCTCTCCACTAAATTCACTTTTTTATTTCTGACTATCCTCCCCTCCATTTCCACCGATTTGACTTGTTCTGTTAACATTTTTCATTCTGTATTTAGCTGATTGCTTACCAAAGGCACCCAAGATATAGCTTTATTACTATTTTGTAACATTATTGACATCTTTACTCTGAGCAGTAAGATTATCCATTGAAGTCGTCTTCTGTTGATTAGAGGTTTCATCGGATTAAATTTAGAGTTGATTTCTCTATGATATATATTTATTTAATTTAGCTTGGACTCTATTCTACTGCCTCCTGTTTACGATATTATTTCATTTATGGTATTTTGAGCTAAGTTAATAAGACAATTACCTGTCAATGGGATTGGGCTATGGTTGGGGTTATTGATTGAAGTTATACATACAAACCATCAAACGCCGACTCAGTGGTCTAAACGCTAAGTGTTCGACACGTGACCTAAAGGTGCTGGGTTCAATCCCCAGTAACTTCATGGATATGCACTTCTAAGGAGTCCCATGCTAAGACTAAACAGCTGTCTTCTGCTTTCTTCTTTCCAGTCGTCGTCTAAATGAGGTCAATACCCTTCTGTAAGCTACAATGTCATCTTTTCTTAAACTTCATAGGAATTTTCCGACTCTCTTTTGCAGAACATAATTGAACTCCATCACGATTACCGCTTGTAACAACAACTTTTGATATTTCCTATCTAAGCAAGCAGTTATAAGTAAGAAGGTTTGTGCTAACCCTTGTCTTAAAAATAGTTACTACTTGTAATCATTTAAATTTTACTTACTTTCTGTTAAAAGGCAATTCGTTTTTTACATGGGCAAAATGATATTTAAAAATTATTTGAGAATCATGGTTACCAAGCGGTCGTGCATTTCATATAATCTGTGTTTTAATCTTTATTCATTAGATTATTTATGTCATTATTTCTACATATTACTGACTTTACAATTATGTAATAGGCTAATTGGTATTCATATTTTATCTTTAGGTTAGTAGCGAGCACTCTGTTATTAATATATGATTAATTAAGTCTTCGTTCAAAATGTGCTGAAGTATAGAAAAACCTTAGACGCCAGAAAGCAGCTGATCGTTGGGTGAATAAACTAAGACAGGTTGGGTTGATTGTCTTATCTTTGTCATTTTATGATGTATACACCACTATAAACTGAATGGATCATAAAGCTTTCTCTAAACACAAGATATTGACTAGTATTATGAGATTTTTTGTTTTCTACGTAGAAGATCAATGACATTTTATGGTTTGGATACCAAGTCGCTTATGGCACAAAATTATGTCTAGTTTAACAAATTTTAGAAGATTTAAGTAGTTCCATACGAAGTTATTAGAAAATCATATTCCCAAACTTTTATATGTGTGCTATCAGCTTACCCTATCGTTGTAATAATAATAAACAGCTGACGTATGTATTGTGTAAAAGCACTATACAGTTGTCGTTACAGTATGGTTGTATTTTCTGCTAACAGCATAAACTACTACATTTAGAAAAGACATATTCCAAGTCTGTATACATATTTACACTAGGTATGCTTCTAAGAAACACAAAAATAGCTCCGTCTAGATAAGCCAATAACGATGAAGCTGGCCAACTCACAACTAATACAAAACAGCTTACATCTGTGTAAGGACACAATTCTTTTTTTATTAGGATGCTAGATTTCGCCTAGTGTTTGTCTCTTATTAGTATCATAAATTAATCCAAAATAGTATCACTTTAGTGCTTATCTTTTTAGTTTTTTTTTCACGCTAGAAAACTCATATTTCTCTTCATTTTTGTTTATTTGTTTATATACAACTCAAGTCGTCTACTACATAATTCAGGTAAACTTGAATTTGCCATTAGACAGTTGTCGTTTATAGTTCTTTTTTTTCTTCCAGTAATCTCTATCTCTTTGATGCCTTGTATAATTGCGATAATTAACAACTATTCAAATTAATTCATTTTCATGTAAATAAAATCTCATTTTTCACGAGGTGATTTTGTTTGTTTTTGGTTAAGATGAAGAGATAGAACTCTATTTCTCAGCCCATATCCCAATATTGTCTTGAAATCTGTGTGTAAACAAATAAATCAATTATATTCAGTAGTCTTTTTACGCCCAGTTTTTTTTAATAACATGATGATTTGGTGTCAGATGAAAGCTCAGAATACATTCAGAAGGCTTGACTGAGTCTTCCCAACTTGTGCTGTAGGGGAGATATAAGTCTGCCGACCAAAAAACGAGCTTACTGTGCAGCACTTCGCTCCGTTCTACTTTATGCGTGTGAAACATAGCCATTAAAAGTAGATCATGTTCGTAGGTTACTGGCATTCGATCATAGATGTCTTCAAAGCATTACTCGTGTATTTTAGGACCACTGAGTAAGTAATGTTTGGGTTAGGGATAGGAGTAGGGTACTAGGTAATGATGGGCAAATCGGTTGAAGAGGTGATAAATCTTCATCAAATGAAGTTGTTCAGACAGGCGTCAGATATGCCCAACCACCGTTTACCTCGACGGGCGACGTCTTCTGGTATGGGAGTGGGCTAGAAGAAAGCTAGGGGCGATCAAACCGAAGCTTGAGATCAGTTTATGAAGTCGTTGACAACTGGATTGAGCCATGTTAATAATTGTGTATTACGTGGTTGAGGTCCGCGTGATGACTATCGTAACCAGTGGTTAGAGACTGAATGACACAGCTCAAAATTGTTTGCAATGGCTCACGTGCATCTATTCTTTGTCTTCCCTTAGATTTCAAGCTTCTAAATCCCTCATAATTTTTTTACTACACCAATTTATATGTTCTTGAATCGTACGTTCGATGCCTAGTCTTTTCTATTAGCATTAAAGCTGTTACTACCTTTAGTACTCTTGGATTCGCCCTGACAATATCATCTCTCAGTGTTAATGGGTTTTAGGGACTTGAACCGATGTACATACATACGAGGTTCTACGTTATGACGGATATATCCTTAGCGTCGAATTAATAATACTCATATGAAACTAATTCATTCACTGGAAACAGTTAGCAATAATAATCCTAATATGTGTGTCACTGAATATATCTTTTTGGGAATTTAGTCCCTTGTTATGTGATCCTTGTACACCTGTTAGTTTCTCTTAATATATTTCCACATATGATCTTACCAAAAGTTTTTATTATAGTTATTAATAATTAAGAATGTCCCTTGTCTCCTTAACCTATTTTTATTTATTAATTTAATGTTCTTAAAGTTTAACAATGAAATAAGTTCATGTAATTAATTACTGATTTTCTTCTGCAAAATCGACATTTTTAAAAATGTGATTTCATATCTGATACGTGTTTGCATGTACACGCAACCATAATTTCTTAATATTATCTTCTAATCTTAGTTATTCTGATCTATCTTCTTAGAACTGATAATTTCCTTCAGTTAATTGATTTCATTATCGTTATTTAACATTACCGTTTTTATTTTATCGAGATTTTTTCTTTTCTAAAAGTTAATAGCATATTTATTGAAACATCATTAAAAATTATGAAATACTAAACTAGTGTATTGGAAATATGAAACCATCTAATTTACATCATCATTGAAAATTCGGAAGCACTAAACGGCTATTTCATTGTAGCATGGGACTCTTCGACAGTGCTCATCCACGTGTTTGCAAACAGGAGTCGGACCGAGGACTTTCGGTCTTGCGTGCTAACGCCTAACCTCTAGACCACTGGCTCAGCATCCAATGGTATTAGTGCTGAACATCGATCAACCTTGAGGTTATGCGTTCGCATTTCTGCGTGCGGGTTCGTAGTTGCGCATTCCTTAGGAGTTCTATAGTAGGCCAAAACGGCCATCCAGTGCTTCCAGTTCTACAATGATCGTCTAACTTGAATCGGTCCATGATTTCAATGAAATTCAACAGTTTCCAAAATACTATACTGACTCAACTGTTGTTTAGTTTTCCATAACCAATACTTGGATACGAACATCTATGTACGATAACGACAGAAACCACTAAATAATCACATTCGGTTATAACTAGGATTTTTCAGTATTAACTAGTTTCTTATGAACCGTTGTTATAAAGTAAGTCTTTGCAAATATAATTCAGTTGTTTTGTACACCACTTTATTATTCAAACAACCCATTAATTTTGAACCACTTTTGAAGAATTCCCAGTTAAGTAGGACAACAAGCAAGTTTAATATATTTTTTGGGTTTTATCTTTAACGATCCTTCAATTATTACCACTTTGAGATGATAAAAATTAATAACGATAATCTTAAAACAGTTATCCAAAATTCATAATGATGATTTCTACAAATCCTAACGTGTTAGCTTATATTTATCTGAATTTTATTCATCAATTTCGTTTCAGATATCAAATGCTTTAAATTCAGCTGTATCGGTGGTTACCTCGAATTTCGTCACACCATTATTATCATCCTCGTCGTTGTCAGTGCCATCATCATCAGTATCATCTTCAGACTCAATCAGAACAGTAAGTGAAAGTAACGAAGATCCTCCTAGTACCACATGAATCACTATTCTTTCTTTGTTCGATTTTTCCTTTGCAACATCTTTTTTATTTATTTTGTTGTTGTTTTATTTTTCTTTATGATCAATATGTCGTAGTAGAATTAACACTACAATAAATTTAATGAGCAAAAAATGTTCGTTTATCTTTTTAACTTCTTCGAGATCATCAAATAAGTAACTCTATCAAATATATACATTTAAACTGTAATATTTATATATTATAACATTGCTATTATGAATTGTCTTCTTTGTGTGTATCCTTCACCTTCAAACAGTAATGATGATAATTGTTTGATCGACTAATTTAGTTAATTCATTCCATTTAGTTTTTTTAATGAAGATTCCTACCATTACCTACATATAGATAATTGTTTTCTATTGAATTAAAAATATATTTTAGATCAGTACATAGAATACAATTTTCTTATTGTCAGTATTCTAGATCGTGAATTTATCTGATTTTTCTTTTTCTCAACTTTCACACCGTCGTTGTTGATGATGGTGGTGTTGCTGTTATTTTATTCAGAAATCGGTTATACTATTTGTCAAATTGTAGTAAACTTGGGTGATACCGTAGATCAATATTCCATTGTATAGTTCCTCATTGTTTTTTTATCTTTCTGACATTTTATGGTGGTAGATATTTTGAAATCCGGTCAAAGTAATACTCGTAGTAAACCCCTACTGAAGATGATATCTAAAGTGTTGTTGAAACCTCTCTTAATGATGAGTCAGTTTTTAAAACCAGTTGAACGAAAAACAGTAAGGATGGATAGGTCTGTTACAACAAGGAATAAGCTGTATTACATATACCAGATTGTGTTATCAAAGTAACAAACTAAATTACCATTATCAAAATATCAGCTGAAATAATATGATTTCCACTATATTTCTCTTTGTTTTCATGTACCCACTGAAAAGTTTGTCATAATACCACTTGATGGGTTTCGAGAACTGTGAAGAAACGGAATTTTTATTTATTGGTACTATGTCATCTGTACACTTCATATAGAAAATTATATCAATAAAAAATCAATGTCAAAAAATAAGACAATTTGAATGATCATCTGAGTAGTTAGTGATATGGAATATAAAAACATGTTCATAGTACTCAGTGTCTGAACTAAAATGCTTTTAGAAATTAAATTAATTAAATAGTCCAAGATTACTGAGTTCAGGTTTTTCTTACGTTTTTATTTGATTGATTCAATTATATTACACATATGTGTAAAATGTCTTTTAAATAGATAAACTCAATTTGTATTTATCAGGTGACTTTATATGTCTAAAATTAGTTAAGTCATCTATAAGTAGATTTGCTTTGTTTAAAACTGAATTTGAAAGTTATTCTTTGTTCATCCCAGTTGCTTGTAAACAATGTATACTTATATGGGGGGGAGCACGAACTAGGCCTATGAATTAGATCTTAGTTGATCGGAGAATGAGTGACGTACAAACTAATTTCCTCTGATCACCCATAACATTCTTATTTGTATTTTCGTCTTTGATTCCTAGTCATTTGGGAGCTTGCGTCAACAAGACGGTCTAGTGCACACTTTTCACATGGCCACACGTGTAATTGCACATCATCGATGAATCAGTATTATACTCATTGATTATGACAGTCAGAAATTCATTCTTACAATTGTGATCCATAAAAAGCACAAATGTGGACCGGCCCATAGGGATACAACAATGAACATCAAACCAATAAGCTCAAGACACGAAATCAAATCCAGTGAGGTTAAAATGATCATACTGGTAGTAATGTTAAACTAAAATCAAGGAGTATGGTTCATGAAGAACGGATGAGACTGGGGATGAGAAGTACGTAATCACATTAAACTCAAGTTCAGTTACGCACATCCACCACAATTCAGCTGATTTTAAATCACTTCATTTACTTCCAATCATGCAGTATGATTATCTTGATGACTGCAACCAAAACGTTTGGGTATCGCTACACGGCTTAGATCAAGAAACAATGGCTTCATGAATTGTCGCTACGTCATATCTCACTTTGGATATCTCTGGCCTATTAGTCGACAGACGCTCTAAACTACATCAACCAAGTGATCTACAACCTAACCAAAACTATTCACTCACCCATCCCACTTTATTTGAACAATGTTTCGAAGGCAGTATAGATAAATTCCTAAGAAGTTATTTTTTTAAAATCATAATTGCATTAGAAATGAAGTACACCAATTTTCTCGCTGTCAAAAGTTTACTTACTATATTAACTGGACAACAGCATCGACTTCTGCAACATACTACGACTTCCTTGTACATAATATTTCTACTCAGTAACAAACAACATTAGGCACATGTAGACTACATTATCATCAATCCACAAATATCTAAGCTACCTTCCCATTATTTTTTTAGAACAGAACTAATAAGCATTCATTTAAAGGTCAGCAAAAATTTCTATTAAATGCATAAAATTGATATAGCTGAAAAAAAGTAACAAATAACTTGATCTGTGAAATTGATCAAATTTACTAAATCCCCATGAAAAAACCCAGAGTAAAAGACTTTTAATTGTACAGGGTGATTTCAATTAAGGTAAATGCAACTCAATGTGAATAAAAGCGGTTAATAAAATAAAGTATAAAACATGGTACAAATAAATGATTTTCTGAAATGTCTATCATAATAAAAGGACTGTAAATATTAGAGCAAAAAAAAGTATTCGAAGTTAAGCGCCAAATTTTGGGCGAATTTTATCAAAATTAATTTTTTCTTTATACAATGCAGAAAATTTTGAAAGTGGTTGGTGTGAAAACTGTCCTTGGAGAGCACTGAGTATTGTATGAAATTCTGTACGAACAAAGTTGTAAAACTCTTGTTCAGCTTGCCAAATCGGATTGTCTTGATATATTTTAGTTGTTGCTTTACTAATTGGCAATTTATAATTTGTGCGTCTTAGATGCCATTTATCCTTTGAACGAGATATTAGATTATGAGCACCGGTAAAGAATGATGGTAAAAGTATTTCTAGCAAGTCGACAAATTTATCAAATTCTTCTGTCAGGCCAACAATAAGATAATCTTCAATCACACGACGTTTAGCAGTTTCTACAGCAACTGGATTACCAGGGATTCTGCAATACGCTGCTTGTCCGCAGAAAAACGGTACCTTAAAAATTTATAAATACAGTGAATCGATAGAAAGTTAAAATTTTAGATAATATAATTTTGTCTACTAGTCACTTCATTCAAGCATGTGTTTAATAAAATTAAGACTACATATGACTGAATATGTCTCATTATCTACATTTTTGACGCATAGTGCTAGTTTTTATCCTATTCTGAATATTTTTCCTATTAACAGATTCAGAATCAACTAAACTCATGAGTTGTGAGCTACTTAACATAAATTATAGTCATGCTACAGAATAGCAAACCTTCTGGTGAAAGATATATATTATTCGTTTAACTTTTAGTGCGGCACAAGATTAATTGAAGTATACACACAAAACAATGCTCCATGATGACTTACTGAAAGATATGCTTTGAAGCAAATTCTTGTTAATTTAGATAGCTTATAAATAAGCTTCCTGTTAATATATTTTATTATATTTAACCCGGATTCACTTTAGCAATGCACATTTATAAATTGAACGGTCTGAGATTCTACTGTAAATCACAGTCACAATAAATGGTATTTTGTAGAGAGTAGGTTTTACACTTAATACAAAGGACTAGACAAAAATGACATTCATTATTATTCAGTGATCAATCAACTGCGCACTGAAGTGTCAAATGAGGAGAACAATGTAGAGGTGATTTATATTAGAACCGACTAACCAGTGAAACTTATGGTATATCAGTACTATCCAGCCATGGATTTGGATACAACAGTTTTAACCATTATATAATGAATCAATGGAAATCAAAATAGTAGATATCAGCACTCTATAAGATGCCAATATTCGATCTTTAAATTAACTCACTACTGTTAATAGTTTATCAGCTCTACATGTAACCTTTGACGGTTACTCCCAGTTCCCGGCAAAGGAGAAATGGTGACTACAGGTTTACCAACACCACCTTGCAAAAAAACGCCAAACAAAAAAAATCACCTAAACACTGCTTCGTCCGAAATGTATTGCGCTAATATATCACATATTTTTGATCATCTTCGTCTTCTTATTATACTATCGAAATATGTGAAACTCAAAAGAACTGTCACACAAGGGTAGAGTCAGTATTGTCAACACTAATGTTAAAATAGTCCTACTATACGGAGCTGAAAAGCGGAGGACAACCACAACCAGCACCAAAAATCTACTGGTACTTGTGAACAGCTGTCTACACACAATACTCAAGATCCACTGATCAGAGACAATCAACTACCTGCCATCTGAGGAGATTGGGAAAAGACGCTAGAGGTGAATGGACACACTTTCGAACAAATAGTTTGACAAGCTGAGCGCCGAGTAGATAAAGGACATTAAATGTCCTGAAACAATGTTCTGAAACAATTTCAACGATTGAAACGTGAGTAATTTCAAAATTTTACCCAGAAAACTGATTACAGCCTCTTTAGGGTTATAATTAATCACTGAAATGATTTTAAATGTTTTTTTCACGTTTAGAAATAAAATTTGTTTGCTTACTTGGACCCATAGAAGTTGTGGGCTACAATCACTACCATTTACAAGAACACATTCATCAAATGTTTGGTTGCGAGTCACAATATCAAACATACGTTTACGTATCAGATATGGCCTATAATCATCACCATATCGTAGAAAGTAATAATAAGACACTAATCTGTCTAGTGGATTTCTTATCATATTAATATATATTGGGTTAAACAATGATCCATATTTGATAAAATTTATATAAGCGAAATGCCCATGTATAATCAGTGGATGCATACTGGTCCAATGTGTCAAATTATCTATCAGATATAATTCATTTACACGATTTAAATAATGTTTATTTGAAGAAATGTTCAAGTGTATCACATGTGTATGACTGTAATTCTCTTCAATTAACTGATAGACTAAGTTTATTAAAGATGTGCTACCTGTTTTAGGGATTCGGTTGTAGACAACAACAGCATATGGCTTGATATTACTGTCCGTACCATGAGCATTGTTGTTATTGATGAATGAATAATTATCTGTTTTCGAGAACTGTTTTGCCGACATAAAACAATTTGTATAATGATAATTTAGAAACCATTTATTAGCATAAAATATAAAAATCAGAAGTGATAAACTACCGAATAATGAAAATAACACAAACAAGCGACGATTTAGCAGAATCCTGATAAAAAAAATATGATCAGAAGAGTTGTATGAGTTAAAAATGTATGTGTGTAAATGTGCCGTATATAATACTCATAAATGCAAATGATAAATTATTAATAAATATCTAAAGCTAAGTATATTTTCAATGAATTATTCAGATACCCTAGAAACAACCACGGAAAACCAGGAAGCACTGGACAGTTGCTTTTTATTAGCGTGGGGACTTGACACTGTGCACTTAGAAGCCTCAGGTATTGAGGCGAACGTCTAAGTTTTAGATCACTGAGCGGAAATCCAATAGCCAGTATGACTAACTTCGATCGATTGGCGACATTGTGTAGTCATGATCCAATAACATTTGCTGGTAAATGTCTCATAACAGATTTTGACAAGGGCTCCCAATAGGTCAAACAAAAATTTTGAAAGGTGTAAAATATGCTAAAAGTATGATTAAATATATATTTCCTTAGTTGAATAATAAATTATTATCATTCTCTACGATCAGACTATCACCCAAATGACACTCAATCAATTCATAAAGCACAACTAAATTGATTATAATACGTAGCCCTTTGTCGGTTGTCATTAATTTACCTTAGTCTACACATAATCAACTAATCGGTAGATTTTCTTAGAACTCCAAATA